TGGCTAATTTTTAAATTTTTCAAGAGAACAGGGTCTTGCTATGTTTCCCAGGCTAGTCTTGAAATCCTGGCCTCAAGTGATCCTCCTTTCTTGGCCTCTCAAAGTACTGGGATTACAGGCGTGAGACAGTGTACCCAGCCTAGAAGTCTTCTGATTTAGAATACTAAAGTAGTGTTTTGCTGACATGTTTTCTTTGGAACGCTAATCCCTTAAGATGTCAATAGACATCCCATAAGAAAAGGAGGGGGGGCATGGTTATATAAGTTTGGGAAACTCTGGGTATGACAAAAGTAAGCATGTTTATCATGAGGCATTAACATGTTCATGTGTGTTAAGAATCCCCAACAGGGGAGTATTTGCTATAGTATTCCTGAACTATACATGAAAAAGGGCCACTTCCCCGTGTTAATGGGGGGAATACATTAACATCTTGCAGAGCTGGAGTTCCACATGGTTTGAAAAACGGTGCCCAAATTTTCAGAAGAACAACAATCTGGGATTTCTCACAATTAATTACAACACTATGTTACCATGTGTCTTTGTCCCCAACATGGAAGAAGTATTAATTGTTTTAATTCTTATAAGAAAAATATGCTGAAAATTACTCTTGTAAGGCCAAGACATGCCACTCTATCAGAAAAACAGAAAAAGAATGCCATCATCTACGTTTTACAAGCAGCCCAAAACTCTACTCTACTGCTAAGGGTGGGCTTCATATTAGGGGAAAAAGAAACTTTCTCTCTTCAAGTGAGAAAGAAAATTTTTTGTTTTTGTTTTTTAAAACTGTACTGTTAAAGCAGATCAAGGTACTATAACTGATGGTGAAGGACACCAACCCCCAGTGCTCAAGAAAGTACTTATTCTCCAGTGGCTATTGGCCCACTCTGACTACAACTTGTTTCAGAGTGGTATAAAACTATGGCATCAGAAATACTCCAATAGAGACAGGCTAACAAATTAGTCACCATCTACTGTTTTTGTTTGTCTAGTGCCCCTCTTTCCACTGGGGCAGACACAGCACCTCCTCCATCCCACATAGTTCCTAGTGGGACTGTTGGTTATGTGTGCTCACATCCACCCCTACTGCTTGGCTGTAGGATGCTCATGTGAGCCAGGCCTCACTCTCATGGGCCATGGTCCCTTGCCCCTGAGATTGACCTAAAGGGTAGGCACTTGATCCTAGCAGAACAATCCACCTTTTGGATCATGAGTTGCAGGGATGAAGACTTGAGAGGCCAGGGCTTTCTTTCCATCCCTGGGAAGAAAACCTCTTTGTAGCCAGAGAGACAAAGACCAATGTGTTAAGAAAGGCAGGCACAAGCAAAGCCAAAAGGTAGAGAAAGAGAGAGCTCTAATTACTGTTTTTGCAACCTTGAACTGGATTCAGTTGTGTCTGAAACCAATGCTATTTTTAGATGTCCAAGTTAGCTGAGCTCAGTATTTTCCCTTTTTGGCTTAAAATAATTTAAGTTGGATTCTGTCACATATAACTGAAAGAGGAGATAACGCACAAAGATTTTCCATCTCCCTATAAATCTTTAGAGCTTCACAGTAAACCTTGCCATTCTGGAGAAAACTAGACTGAAATAAAGTATATATTCAAAATACTTTTGTATTTATGACAATGTTAGAAAAGAGCATTAGCTAAAAATGTTACAAAAATATTTAAACTATTTTCCCATGCTGGGGAGTGAAGGAGGTAGTAGGGAGAAGGAAGCATTCGAATTAAGCTCTTTAGTACTGGTATTAAGTCTCTACTTGAAGAAGCCATTCACACTAATTAATGGCTGTCAGAGTGTGTTCCAGGGACCACCTGCATCAGAACCACACTCATAAGACCTCTATACAATTTAAGGCATGAATTTAAATGTGAGATGCTTTTATTATTTTAATGAAGCACTGCTGAATTTTAAATAATTTAAAAGGCCATGCAATGCTAAATGATGATTACAAATACTTATTATGAATGTGATACCAGTGACCAATTTCACAGGGATCTAGAATCATATTAGTAATCATATTACTATCGGGCTATGCTTTTCAGAAATAAACAAACATTATGTTGTAGGTATAAGTAGCCACACTGTATAGATGAGGAATTGAGGCTCTGAGAGGTTAAGTAACTTATCTAGGGTCACAATTACTGTTAGTGTGTGAGAATGAGCTTGTTTGCTGAGAAGGGGTACTTACTTGGTTAACTGAAAAGGCTGCATTGTTTCCCACAGTGACCAAAGCTCTTTCAATAATTACAGGATCTTCAGTTGACTCAAGTAGGTAAAGGAGTTTCTGAAGTTGTTCAGCATTTAGGACTTCATCATATGAACCATTGGTTAAGTCTTCTGCATAAGAAGAAAATTATCTAAAATCAATATGAGATTTTAAAATTTAAAAAACATCAAACATATACTCTGATAGCACAGTATTAAGCACTCTATATGTTTTATCTCATTTAATCCTCAAGCAACCCTAGGAAGAAGATACTATTATTTATTATTCTCAATTTACAGATGGGAAATTTAGGCTTATAGACATCAAGAAATTAGCCAGTGGTTACTTGGTATTTGTTTGTTAGTAAAACACTGCATGCCAATACTATATACTTCTAATGCTGACAGCATTTGTTTTCTCTTTTTTAAAAACCAGGACACCTATCCAATGGAACACTTACCTATAGGGCATAGATTAATTAAGGAATAGGATTTGCATTAAGCAGACCTTTTCTGAGCACATCAGATAGGAGAAAAGCTATGGGAGTAAGCCAATCCTGTTCCAGTATGGCATTTTTGTTTGGTTTATAGGAACAAGGCAAGATGACTGGGATGCTAGAATAACAGTTTTGCTGGTGGTGATGACAAAAGAAAAGGCATCATTTTGAGTAAGAGCTAGAATAGCCAAATGTTGGATCTGCTCAATGATTTTTAGAATTTATAGTTCTACCTTTAAAAAAAAATTCTCTTTCTAGAAATCACCACTAGAAAAATAGAAACTTTTTTTTTTTTTGGGCCATTTTCTGTAGAAAAGTACAGAAACCATTTTTATAACACACTGCGGGGCAGGAAGGAGAGGTTATACAACAATGGGGTGCTATGTGGTCTCACATTTGTGCTTTTTCTATTTAAAAATATATGTAAAATTGTTAAAGGTGGTTATCTTTGGGTATTGGGATTATGAATGACTTTTTTTTTTTTTCTGAGACAGAGTCTCTCGCTCTTTTGCCCGTGCTAGAGTGCAGTGGCTTCATCAGAGCTCACTGCAACCTCAAACTCCTGGGCTCAGGCGATCCTCCTGCCTCAGCCTCCCGAGTAGCTGGGACTACAGGCAGCTAATTTTTAAAAATTTTTTGTAGAGACAGGGTCTTGCTTTGTTTCTCAGGCTGGTCTTGAACTCCTGCACTCAAGCAATCCTCCAGTCTCAATCTCCCAATGTGCTGAGATTATATGCGTGAGCCATTGCACCTGGTATGAATGACTTTTATTTTCTACCCCATGCTCATAAGTACTAGTTTTTTTTTTTTTTTTGCAATAAACATGTAACTAAAATAACTATATTGCTTAAAGAGGAATCACAACAAAATGTGAGGGAAAGGGACAAATATAGATTATGGGAAACAGTAAGTGATATGATATCCTGAAGAAGTCAAATAAGAAATCTGTTAAGAAAACCTAAAAGCTAAAAAGCCAGCAGATTCTCACTATCAAGTCTTATGATCAGGACCCTGCTTTTACTCCTGAATCTATTACTGCTCTTATTTATATGTTTCAAAACGGAGTTTCACCCAAAGAACACTTGATAAGGGAAAGTGATAAAAACACAGCTTTGTAGAATGGAGAGAATTTAGGGCTCACCTAAACCTCTTATTTTACACATGAAGAAACTTTAGTGAGGATCATTTAAGGCTTTGCCTAAAGTCACAGAGGTAGCTAGTAGCAGAAACCAGAGAAATGAAAATACAAAGTTGCAGGAAAGTCACTTAACATCTTTTTTGGGTTTCAATTTTCTCATCAGTAAATAAAATGGTTGGTTGACTACTATAACTGGCTCCAAAGGTTCTTATACAGCC